TCCAGACTACATGTTGGAAGTTCCAGTAGCTAATGTAACCAGCGAACCAGGAAAATTCACCGTAGGTGTCAGCCAAATGAATAAATTTAAAAAATCCGGACAAGCCCATCCATTTGCTGTGAAAAAATCACTCAGACCAACCGACTTGCAACCAGCTGGCAATAATTTTGGTCAACCTTTCCACGATCGAGAATATTACTACGACGAACAAGAAGATGTTGATGAAGATTCAAATTGTCCAAGGGATTTGTATTATGAGCAAATGAACATGGATTTTGGAGAGACTCCGAAAAAATATGATTGGGAACAGATTGGACGTCATTTCGTAAATTACGGCAGATTCACAAATGATATGTCTGATGATCTGATGCGAGGATTGGATAATAGATTTAAGCAAATGAAGGGTTGACCCTGTGATGGTTTGAAAAGTAATGGAATAAGTCCTTCGCATTATGGCTCAATTCCGCTTATGTTCTCCTAAGTAGAAAAGACTGCACAATATGCACTAAATAATCATAAAAATGTTGGATATTTTTGTTAAATAAATAAAAGAATAAAAATAAGTCAATACGTAAGGTCTTAAGATAGATTAGTATTAAACGTAATTTGTTAGGAAATTATAAAATTAAGAGAAAAAATATCATGTATTTAAAGTTAATGCTATTGATTTCATATTTTAAATCCAAACTTTAGGATTCGACAAAAAATCAACTAATAATATAAATAAAAAATATAGTTATAACCTTTTAGTGATACATATTTAACTTATTGGTATCTTGTATAGTTATGTATTTTGTGGCGTCCAATTTTAAATATTAATTACGATTACAGTAGATACCTTTTAAGACGATCCTGCTCAACACGATTTCTCACATAATACGTAACACTTTACATGTTGTCTATATCCCGCCTAAGACGTGTTTTTGAAATTTTTTTATGAAATCGTTGTAACGGGGTTCTACAATATATCATTATTATCTATTATTGAAATGTTGTATATTTTGGAATTATAGAATTTAAAAAATAAAATTATTGTCAATTTTGAAAATAATAAAAATTTTAATTTTTTATATTTTTGTATTTGATATTAGGTACATATAAGAAGCATATTATATTTGCGGGTGTGTTTTCTAGTATATTTTGTAACTTGAGAATATATTCAGGTATTATATGTATTTTATTCATCATTCAAAAGCAAAATTTAATTTTATCTCGGTTTTTAATTAAGGTTTTTTTAATTAGTAGTTACTTATATATAAGTAATATTATTTATAGATTGAAAAAAATGTGTTTGGTTAATAAATTGAAGTAAAGTAAATACCTAAGTCCTAATTAATTTATAAGAAATGTGAAACAATTGCTCTTTTATAAATAATTAAATTGTGCATTTTTTATAATCAGTATCATATCTATCGTCGTCTAAACTTCAAAATCTCTTAATACATTACACATTATCAAAATATTTATAAATTTAAAGTATTACAAGTTTCATATTACCAACGCAAAAATAAACTTCTTTAAGTGCTGGTATGTAATTAAAAACTTGCTCCAGTTTCTTGTACTTTTCTGCGCAAACACTAATACTCTTCTTCGGTAAAAAAGTTTGAACAGAAAATTACATCACGATTTTTTTTAAATTCACTTCTTCGAATGGAAAAGTATGTTTAACTTACCGTAGAGTAAGTTTTAGTAATTGCAAAAAAATCGAAAATTAAATCTTTCGCCTAATGGAAAAATGCAACATACACCTAGGTTGTCTTGGAATCTAATTGGAAGAATGATTGAAAGAAAAGTTCAACATAGTCGCAAACCTTAATGTAATGGATAAGTTCTCATGCTGTTTGAAAAACTTTGGTGGAGGTTTATTTATGTAAGTTGAGTTGTACTCACTAAAACAAGGAATTGAACCTTTTTAAAATGAGCCGGACCTTCATTATCTTATCACAGCAATATAAGCCGAATATATGCCTTCCATCCATCCAATTGATGAAGAATACCTAGTTCCTCATTAAAGTAATTACAATTATATGTGCAAAATTATATAGAATATCTAGGTGTAAGTGGCCTTTTTCCTAATTGTAAAAACTTTCTGATATATATATATATATATATATATATATATATATATATATATATATATATATATATAATCGACTCAATCAATAAGTAATGAGCTTTAACAATTTGTCATATCACGACAGAATTCTGAAATTTTGACCAGGCCCATAACAACGCTGTATCAAAATCCTCCAAAAGAATTAACAAAAAATATTGCAATATTGCCAAATGACAAAAAATACCGACAGAATGGTATACATATGGACAACTGACAAAGTGGCCCAATTTAAAAATTGGCTAGTTTTAATGACATTTTTATACTGCGTAATGTGACTCACAATCCTGTCAGATGTTGAGCGTCATTGTCATAGTCGCATCACAGTAATCAGTTTAAATTAAACGAATCAAGATAAGACAAAAACTTTATCTGAAAATTTTCCAACGAATCTACTTACATGTTAGTATATTTTATTTAAAGTTCTAATAGATGATTTAGACAAGAATTGTTCGTTAACAAAGCCTTGCAGATTTAAAGATATATAATTTATAATTTATTCCGTTCTTGAAACATGATATCATTTTGTAAATACACACCCCTCGCTGACGGATAATAAGTTGAAAAGAAAGCATTTCACAAGATAAGCTACTTTATGTTTCTGGTAATCAGAATGCGTATACATATTTCATTTTATTCCCGTCTTGTTTTCTATTCTTCCGGGGTGTTGTACGCAACAGCGAGTGCGTGAGTTATTATCTCGGTATTTGCAATTCCACACGGAAAAGCCATAAGACAAAATCCCGTGTTGAAATTTGCGACAGCAAAATAAAAAATCGGCGGTGGCGCGAGTTGTATAATTTTCTTTTTTTTCTGCCCGGAGTCGGGGGTTTGATGTAGGCTAGGGATATGATTTTACGGTGGGCGGATCGCGTCAGCTTTGCCGAACCGTGAAATATACGATGTTTGCCATCCATTTACCGACGTTGAGAGGCTCCTACTGAATTCCGCGGGTCAAAATCACGACCGGAAACGAGAAAATAAAGACTTCCTTCTGTTCTGCCGTTTCTTTAAAGACAGATTATTACTTCCCATCAGTGGACGAGCGCTGTAGAGTATATAAGATCATAAATTTTTGCTCGGAAGGAATCGATTTAGGTTCGTATGAAAACAATCAGAAAATATATTGTCAATCATCGTTAAAATAAATGCACAAATAAATAAATATTTAATATCCTTTTTAAGAAAATCTGGTTGGCTATTATGTGTGGGGAAGTACGGACAAAATACCATGGTGTTTCCATTTTAATAATTATTATTTATTTAGTAATATTAATACCAAATGATTCATTTGTGAATTTGGTCGAACAAAAAATCCCAATAATCTCACATCCACATATATATATTATATATATATATATATATATACATATACTAGCTGACCCGGCAAACGTTGTTTCGCTAAGTAAGGTATATTCTAAACAATTTTTAGAGAATCAAAAATATTAATACTTTAAGTGTATAAGGATGTGTTGTTTGAATGCTATATACAATGAAGTATTATAAAAACATTAAACCCCATTAGTTTGTCTGTATTTTGTCAATACAATCAAACTGGAAGATTTATACACTTTCCATAGCAAACATGGTATAACCCAATCCAAGTCTTTTTTAGTCTTTCGAATTATTGATTACGTTTCAAGTTTTTCAGATTCTTTTTGGATTCTGTATTTTGTATATAATTGTAAATAATACTACTGACCTTATAAAAAAATTCAAATTTCTGCGAGGAGATAGAAAATGAATTGAATATATCATTTTTGACCTGCTTTTTGAAAAGTTTTAAGTAACATTCGATGAATTAAAGTAAATTTAATAAAAGTATATATTTAGAGCAGGGGTATAGTGCCAAAAAACTATCAACGGAAGAAAATACTTTTACTGTGGATTTTCAAAGATTACCGTTTATCTCCCGATAGCAAAGTTTTCAAATCAAGGTCATAGCTGGTTATATATCTTTTTTTCTCTACTTTCAAATATTGTTGTTGAACAATGCCTAACTTCACTGATTTTTGACTCATCGGTGCTGGACCTTTTTAACCCCGGACCTCCATATATTACTATCTATTCTTCGATAAATTTTGGGAAATTATAACTGGGAAAATGTTATTCGACAAAATGTCCATTTGATCGACACCAAATTTAGGTTCTGAATTTAAATAACATAAATAAAAAATAATATAACCTAGAAAATGTTTTATAAATACCAATAAAAATATAATTATACAAATGAGATCTTTCAGAGCACCGTGTTTGAGAAAAATATGCCAAAAAGTGCGTTTTCATATTAACATTTCAAAAAAGTTGATATTTTGGGTCTCTAGTGACACTTGCGGCCTGTTTACTAACGTTTTTGTATATAAATAAAACTACAAACAAATCTACTTACTACAATTCAATAATAATTAAATAATATTCACGTAAAACATCCTATTAATCGTAATTGAATCTGTCAAAAGCGTTTGACATTTCACGTATTAGCCATCGTCCATTTAAATTACGCTTCTACAAAAATTTTCAAATGAAAAATGTAAAGTTTCTACGCGATTTTGAAATAATATCTCATCTTTCCGACCATCTCTGAATTGGCACGAATTTTTCAAGACCAAGACTGGCCAAATCAGTTTAGCCGTTTTCGAGTTTTACTAAGTAAGGCATTTGAAAGAGAGCTCCATTTTCATATATAAGATATATATAGTATATATACACATATATATATATATATATATATATATATATATATACATATTCATCTCTATGTATATTGAAATTTTGGGTTTTCGATCATACATTAAATAAATCCTCTCATACCATGACGCAATTCAAAAATCTATTTTCCGAAACAAAAACAATTATGTTAACAAAAATCTTCAATCATATCTCCTACCTGATCAGGTCTCAATCCCGGCGGCACCCAAGTATACTCTTCCAGAGCACATCCGCTATCGTCGTCCGATTGCGAATGTCTTTGCGGATCTTTCACCGCCGCGGGAATCATCATCATTCCTCCGCCTTGAACGGCATGATGATGGTGGTGAGCGATTCCGGTATGACTGGCCGATCCGTGCATCATTTGGGGAGGAGGCGGCAGCCCCGAGGCATGAGGCGATCCCGTGTCCGAGAGCTGTTGGTGTACATGTCCGGCGAGGTGCCGCGGCGAACAGTCCGGCGATCGAGCGACTGTCGAAGAAGAGGATGATAAGGGCGGTGGAGGGCCGACCGTGCGATATAAGGGCGGTGGAGACATCGGAGCGGACATCGTGGGTATACAGCGGGATATTGGCCTGAAAGATAAAGGACTCGTGAGTAATCTATAAAATTGAACCTTATTATTTTTTACTACTAGAAATCAGTAGTATTATCAATATTTTAACGACTAAGCATAGTTTTCCATAGTTTTCCAAAATTTAAAAGCAGTTGCATTAGGCCCAATAAAAATTTGGTACTTGGCTTTTATAATTTTTGTGAGTCTAAATAATTAGTACTTCTTATACCATAAACACCTTAACCCCTTAACTTAAAATGACGAGCAGAGCCCGCGAGCGATTGCTAGACCAAAAGTGAATATTACGGGCATAGCCCGCGTACGATATTCGGGCCAGAAGCAAATATTCTGTTGTCAGGCAGCAGTGACAACGATTTTCACTTGGAAATATAGATAGCAATATGTTTCCAAGTGAAAATAGCCCTTGCCCGGCATTGCTGCACTAATAAAAAGTCAGCCCTATTAGATTAATTCTAATAACAATAATCATCAAATATGGATGGATTAACCATTGGATTACCATCTAAAAATACGGAGTGAAGAGAAGTTTCAGCCCAACAGCTCATAGAACGTAAGGTTCTGATTGCTGTTAAAAATATAATAAAAAAAATAACTAGAAATCAGTAGTATTATCATGAGTAATCTAAATTATTGAACATTATTTTTTTTAATTTAGCTGAAAATCAGTAGTATTATGATTATTTTAAGGACTGAGCATAGTTTTCCATAGATTTTCAAAACTCAAAAGCCGTATTGTATTAAGCTCAATAAGGATTGGCGTTGAAAAGTTTTGTGAGCTTTTCGGCCGAGCCATTTCTATGTAATTAGCACCTCTATACTATAAACACATTAACGTGTTTATACACCTCTTATACCATATAAAACTCTGCATCAAGTGGTATTATAAGATTATCATCTCATTTAACAAAAAATACCACTAAAAAAACAACCAACGCAGTATTTGTAAAATCTATCTAAACCATACCTGGAAATATTTCTTGGTTTATTTGCCAATTAATTGTTTATAGCTCAAAAAAGAATTTATATCAAAATATGATATAATATACTGAAGCTATATGAAAGTTAAAAATATATTATTTTACTAAAAATTACGGAGTAGAATTATTAACTATTTTCATATTTAATGATTTGCCATCTGTTTATATATTTTTTTTTAATTATAAATAGCAATCAAAATAATGCAATTTTATAAGGTATTATAAAATTATAAAACGATTAAAATGAAGTTAATATTCTTTATATAAATGTATAGAAATCACTCCAGTGAGTGGTTTTCTAATTAAAGCTGAGATAGGGCCATAGGCCAACTTTTTTTTTAGAACTGGTGTTAGTCAATTATTTATAGATGATCCTCAACGTTTGACACAAGAGTATTGTTTCCATTTATAATTACCTCGTTTATGCAAAGAAATGCTTTTTATTTTCGTTTTCTTATAAATAGCTATCAATATAAGAGAAAAATATTAGAATAGGAAAAATAATAATTTAGCATTTACTCAATAAAAAGAAGTCTAGTGTTCCATTCGAGTTAGGTAATTTTTTAATATTTTTTAAGGTAAAGTTTGCAACGTACCAAGATAATATTCCTTAATCTTTGACCGTATACCTTACAATTAGATATGGGATCAGTCAAAAAAATATAAAAAATAAAATCGAAGTCCAGTATTCTTTGCAGTACTGAAAGCAGAAATAAAATAAATTTAGAAGGAAAAAATGCGGAATATTTAACTTATTACTGGACTTCAAATAAGTCACTATGGGATATGATTTTTTTAGAATTTTTCTATTAAGTTCTAATCTACTCAATATTAAATAGTCTGTATCTTGTACCAGTGCTTGAATGTGTATTAACTAGTATGTTTCAGTATTTAAATGACATTACAGATCATTTTTATATGAAAATATAAGTTATTAGAGCAGATAGAGTGCAGTTTTCAAATAGATTAAACAAGAAAAATAATTAGATATTTGGACATTTAGTCAATTGCAATAAATATATAAGGTGCCTTGCATACACTCAAATGGCATTCGTAAAACCAGATAAAATTAATCCATCATCACAAGATATCTTATTAAAATATTCTATTATTTATTAATAACTAATGCATCACTCTCGACATAAATTGCAATTAAAATATCACGCTTATCAAATAAGAAACACAGAAATGCACTTAACTTAAAAAGAGTGAAATCACAAATAACATTCCTGAAACCAATGCCGGTTTATAATTATCCTCGATGATTTTGAGTTTGCAAAACATGCTGAATCACTTTCAAATGTCAATTAAGTTAAATTTTATTAAGTGAAAAGTGGTACAGTGAGAAAAGAAAGGAATAAATGTATTGGAAAATGTATTTGTTAGTAAGAATATGCAGTCATGATATAAAAATACTTATAATTTGCAATACTAGAAAAGCGAACTAGAAAACTAGTATTATATTGTTACAAATAAATAATCAAAAGATTTGATGTTTCAGATTAGTAAAAAAACATATCAGCAATCTCATATTAGCCTTGTTGCAATAATGACATTTATTCATACTATTTATAAAATTGTCAAGAAGTTACTAAAATAGCCACACATCTATATCAAAATTAAAAACTCAATTTTATTAACATCAAATACTAATAATGATTCTTTATAAACTGAGTTGAGATATAAACATAGTGCAATTACTTCGAAGAAATTCGCATTAAAGAAGTTGAGTGTGTTTTTGATATTTTCTTTATTTCAATACCGTATAATTATTTGATTTTAACCACATGTCCATCGTCTGTCGGTTGTTGAAATGACAAAATACGAAAGATATTTAAGTTTGCAAATGCAGGGACTTTGAACTTCAATAACAAAAATTATAATATTACTTCATACAATATTTATTTAATATTACACAAATTATTTTATCACAGGATAAAAATAATTAACTTCAATATTCGTTTGATAATATTGAATTTCATAGAGCTCTTTAAGAAATTCTACTAATTCAAGATTATGTTCCTTAACTATAGATATAGCAAAAAAACTTGTAAACAGTATTTAAATACATAGGTCCAGATGATGAAAAATTTTACATCTGATTTGCAGAATATCTTATTTGATTATATACCGCTGAACACAAATCTAAAGTCAAAATTAAAACAAAACAAACAACAGCTTAAAACAAAAAACTGAGAAAAATTTATAAAATATAACAAAATCTCCGATCTAGAAATTTCATTGCATATTCAATAAAATTTTTAAATTTCTGTCGTTTTTTACTATTTTTTTCAAAAATTAAAATACTCAATAGAGATGAAGAAAGCATTCCAGAAATTAATTGAAAAGGTCATTTGAGGAGAAAAGCGCAAAGAAACGACAGAAAATATAAAAATTGAATTATCATTCAATAACATTTCTAGATCGAAGATCTCGCCATTTAAAAAAAACTGTTTTTTTGCAGTTGACCCCTAATTTTAACTTTAGATTCGTGTTCAGCAGTAAAAATTATATGTTGCCTACCTAATACAGACATTTTCTTTCATTTTATGGACCTGTATTACTATTTTTATATAAAAATTAACAGTATTAATGATAAAATAGTATTAAATAAAAATTTGTTTCAATTGATAAAGGGAATTGATATCTATAATGAAAATTTATTAATTTTGAATCAAAATTAGTATTTTGCATCAAAAATAATTATGAAATATTATTTGAATTATTTCTAGATATTTTAAGTTTAATTACCTAAAAAATAACTTATTTAATAATTTAAACAATAAATAAATAAGATCTAGAAATTTGTAAAAACCATATTTTGGCATGCCCAATGATGTTAAATAAGGGCATTGTATTCTTTTTTATCTTGAGCAATTTTTCATCCATGTTCATATAGATTTTCACTATTTTCTATATTTTTCAAGGAAAGGTTGAAATAGTTTTTATTTAACCCACGGTTGCCAACCCCTGTACCAGCATAATCAAGTCAGTCTCTGCTTTTTACTATTTTCTATATTTTTCAAGGAAAAGTTGGAATAGTTTCTATTCACCCCAAGGTTGTCAACCCCTGTATCGACATAATCAAGCCAGTCTCTGCGCTGCTCAGATACGCCGTAGCAACATCATTATCATTATTATTATACGTCCTTTTATGTTTGTTTCGCGATACCACCAATTTCATATAATTTCATGGCGATTCCGAAGAACATAAACGAATTCCAGAAGTCAGAGGAGAAACACTGACTATTTGCGGCGGTCTGTTATGGTTATTGTTAATGACTAATGGCTAATGACACATGAAGATGAAGTATCATCGGACACCACAAAAATAATTTATATGAAATCCACAAAGACACCGACAGCGATCGACAAAAATTACAGAACGATATTATAACAGACGGATTCAATTAAATAAGTGTAGAGGAGAACCGGTTCTATGGGAGGATAATTGAGAGAAGGCAAATATACTTTTACTTGGGCTTGCTCATAGGAAAATAGCTGGAGTAACTGGATCTGACTCGGAGGTCGATTCTGATTCGAGCAACCTGATGTCAAGCAGTAGTGACATCGAAAGAAATATAGATAGCAATATATGTTACCAAGTTAAAATAGCCTTTACTCGACATTGCTGCACCAATAATGAAGTCATCATAAATTATCATAATTGTAATAATGAAAATCATCATACAGAGATAGGAGACCTGTTTGGGTTTGAGTTTGTTAGAAATTTATCACAATAGATCATAGGACATTTAGGTGCTGATCGCTGGTCACATAGATAATAAAAATCCTGTTGATCCAGTTTTGAGCAGCCTGATGTCAAGCAGTAGCGACATCGGTTTTTACTTGGAAATGTAGATTGCAATAAATGTTACCAAGTTTGCACAACATTGCTATGCATCAAGAAAAAGGTCATCTCTATTAAAATAATTGTGAAGAATAATAAAAATCATCACATAGAGATGGGATAACGGAGTTTGAGTTATCCCATAGAACCGTTTGAGTTAACTGAGT